GGTCTTGGAAACACTGTGCGAGAGCTCCCTCCTCCCCCTCCTCCCTCGTACGAATCCAGACTTCTTCGCGGAGGGAAGCTGTTCCCTTGCGCAGGCGCAGGCTGAGGCTGCTGCATGAAGAGAATCCCTCCGTCCCTCCCTCCCTTCCTCCCTCCCTCCCTCCTAAGGCGGGCGAAGAAACGCGGGCTGTTTCGGTACGTGCCTTGCATGGAAAGAAAAAGGGGCAACCGGGAGGGAGAGAAAGGAGGGAGGGAGGGGGAAAGGGAGGGAGAGAGGGAGGGAGGGCGGAAGGTGAGAGGCTTCACGCCAGACTGCGGACGGAGAGATAGAGAAACAGGCAGTGCATCCTTTCCCTTCACTCGCAAACCCATCAACTTCCCGTCCCTTCTTCCATGTCCATCATACATACATCCTTCCGGATCCATTACACAACCCTCCTTCCAGATCCATCACGCACCCATCTGTCCCGGAAACGACGGCCGGAACGCCGAGGCCCACCCCAGGCAAAGGCAACCCACTACCGCCACGGCCAAGGTCCTTCGTGCTCCTTTCCTCCGACTGGGATCGGTAGAGCATGTGTTTTCAGCAGGTATGGAGGGAAAACATTTACTTTCTGAGGTTCCTGCTGCCACATCACTAGTATGCGCCATGATATCTGGCGAGAGGCACTGTACTGCCTGGGCCTGTCTGCGCACTCCGACACAGGCGTCCGCCGATCTGCCGTGACAGTTTTGCCGAGAAGAGAGTAAGCTGTGCTCGACGACGCTGGTTTGCTGAGAGTAGACTGTGGGAAAGGAAGGAAGGGGGGGAAGCTGAGGGTGAGTGGGCGGAGAGGTGGACTGGATATGAAAGGATATGTCTGAAAGGTAGGAATGCAACGCCAGTGAAAACGGAAACAAACAAAAAGAGCGCGTGGCTGTCAGACAGATAGAGAAATACCCTCGCTGGATGCGTTTGTGCGGGCTTAGTATCGTACATACGAGGAAGAACGATAAAAAGAGACCTCAAAGATGGCCGCCTGCACCATCCATATCACTGCAACACTCCACCACGCCATCCACCCATCGACCTCGCCCACCCATACCACCGCACAGTCCAAGACCGCTTCACACCCACGCCGTACATTCTCGCCCGTCCCTTTTACGCCCCCTGCCCCCCAAAGCGCCCAACTCATGTGGTTTCCGGCGCCTGTGTGGCTTCCCTCCAAGCTCGCGGGCCTTCAAGCCGAGTCATATTTGAACAGATCGGAACGGTCCCCTCTTCCACCCCCTCCCTCCTCCTTCAAGGCCACCGCCTTTGGCTCTTTCCGAGCCTCCACCTCATGTATTTCGTCCGCCAATGTCAGCACAGGTATGGAGGTCGTAAGGGGCCGCGAAGCTTTGGACGCCGGTCCCTGTCGTGCGTTCTTCTCCCCTCCTCGTCGCCTCCTCTCGCTTCACTTCCACCTCCTCCTCCTCGCTCTTGCTATATTATTTTGCAGCCATAATGTCGTCGCGCGTCGCCCATGTCCTTCCTTCATCTCCAGCTCACTCTCTAATAAATCTCTTTTAAAGCACCGGTTCACGCTGCGTCCCCTCTGCTTCGTCAAGACACGCATCTCCTCCTCCCCCCTTCCCAAGCTCCCACTCACAAGTTCATTCCCTCTCTTCGCCGCAACTGACCAAAACAAGAAGGAAAGCCCAGCTGAGAAAAATACAGGGAATGAAGCTGGCGAACTAAGAAAACTGCTTACGAACGACACGAAAGAAAAACCTCTGCTTGTCTACCTGACCCTAATTTCCATCGCCCTCCTTGCCCTGGGTAGGCCCCCCCCCCTTCTGCCTTCCTCCCTTCGCGTCTGCCTCTCACCTTTCTTCCGCTTTAAATTTCAACATTGATTTGTCTCTCGTCTGCCGCGATATTTCGGGCCTTCTCTGCGTGCGCTGCTTTTTCTCGCCGCAGCCGACCCCTCTGACTGGACCGCTCCTGGGCTTTCCCCCCTCCTCTTTCCCTCCCTCCCTTCAGGGGTTGGCACGTACGAATTCGGTGGTCCACTTCTAGGTCTCGGCTTCAGCGACGACAGCAATTTCTACTTCGACGCCGCTCCTTCCTACGCGTTGCTCCTCGTGTACCCGCCCCTCTTCCTCTTCTTCCCCGAAGCCCGGAACCTCCTTCTCAAGACTTTGGTGGTCTCCTTCCTCATCACACTGCCCATCTACTTCTTCCCTTACCACGTCCTGGGCTGGGAGCCCACGAACGAGCACGTATTGATCACGGTGGCCGTTCCGATCCTCTCCTACCTCACCTTCTTCTCCTGGCGGGCCACGGCGGCGTACATGGAGATCGTGGAGGAGGAAGGGAAGGAGGGAAAAGAACTGTAGCCCAAGATCGGTGTCACCTTCTAATCAACGAAATATTTTTGAGCGTGCCTGCGGAGGCGTGTATTCTGGAGAGGGAGGGTGTGCCTTTTGAGTGCAAAGGAAGGACATGCCCGCGTACTGGGGAAAGAAAAGGGCTTGGAACCGACCCTTGATTTCATCACGCTTTACTTTTGATATCTGTGTTAGAATGTCGACAAAATAAACACGTGGTCGCTGCTTTTCCTCCACCGTACACCATGCCTCCATTTCTGCACTCTCTTACGGCGGGGGGGCAGAGAGGTAAGGCCTTGACGCTTCCTTCTGCCTCGACCAGCCAACATCAGGGGAACCCTTCGAATCCCTCCAGACCCCTACGCCCCTCCCGACGGCTCCTTATACCGCCCCTTATGTAACAGCGCGTCCCCCACACGGCCTGTGTAAGACCACTGTACTATAAAATTACATTCCTTCCTCACCACCTCCGTACACGGGGAGGGTCCTTTCCCACAAGATTTTCCGTCCAAATTACTCACAAGTCATTCTCAGACACTCCAACGTCCTCACCTGCGGGCTCCTTAACACGTCTTTTCGTATGGCTAGTGCAGCACCTCCCGGGGCTGCCCTTCCCTCTACATCACCTTCCTGTACACTTATCGTCCTTCCTCATCCCCCTCGTTCCGATCTACATTTCCCTATTTGCACACGACCTTTCCCGCCAACCTCCCCGACTCCCGCGACTTGCCTTTCCCTCCCCATCCCCTTCCGTGTTCCGCCCTCAATTCTCACCATTGTTCCGCAGACCTCCTCACCCATGACCTTGCTTCGAATATCTCCCCCGCCTCTTCTCCCTCGCTATCCGCGACCGATCTCTGTCGCTAGGAAAAAACCTCCTCGTGAGCACCCCCACTAGGCCCTTCTCTGTCCATACCTCCGCCTACATCAACATGTCCAAGCCCGACTTTCCTCCCCATTCATCCATATATTCCTGAGCGCAAGCCGTCCCGGATCCCCGCCCTCTCAGACAATCTCCCCCTTCTTCCCCCTCCCATTCCTCCCCTTCCTCCTCCTCGACCTGCCTTTCTTCCCCCCCGCACCATTCCCTC